AAAGATTCTTCTGCTGTCAAAGCACCTTAGTATATATATATATATATATATATATATATAAATATACAAGCGTCTCGCCCTCGCTTCGCTTCGGATTCGTTCTTAGTGAAAAACAATAACAAATCTATCCCACGGAAACTATAATTTATAAGGATTTATAATTACATATTTAATATTTACTACGGTATTACCGATAGTGAAAAAATAAAATTATTGACGAATAAACCGATATACCCACTGTGGTTATAAAAATGCTAAAGAATTTCTACATTGATATTGCGTTTAAATGATACATATATCTTTTATTTAAATTTTTGTTTCTCTATAACGGTCAAAAATTATATAACTAAAAATTACACAAATTACCTCTACCTTTGTTTATTTAATTGTGAAAACTATGGTAAATAAAGAAAAAAAAACATTATTTCTATCATTTATTCATAGTATTTTACACAGTACAATGTCTACCTTTATAGAAAATACCCATGATAGCACAATTGAAAAAAAATCACTATAAAAACCTAAGGAAATGCAATCAAAAACAGTAAGTAGTCGCGGTCCTAAACAAACGAACACAACAAATACTTAAATTACTATTTACAATACATTTAAGAAAAATGACATTTTCCAAAAAAAAAAAACTTTAGTCAAACATTTTATGTACCGGAACAAAATATTTTAACATAATCCAAAATATTATCATTTAAATTAAAACTAAAATAGCGTCAAGAAATAGGTATACTTTGATGGATATTAAAATGACAGTTTTATTTAGACTAATTTAACGTGACATAATAAATACAAATTCCTACAAAACAGTGGAATCCAAATTCTTACTTCGTCCATATTTTAATTTATAGATGCACAATATATTATAATGTAATATAGTTACCAATAAAAATTAATATTTCATATGCAATAACGTTGTATAACTCCAAAGACCAAAAAGTTAGTTATAATGAAGGACTTATATTATTATAAACGTGTGGTTCTTGAATACTTTGTAAGAGAAATTTCAATAGTTTTTTTTTTAATTATTTAATTTAGTTGGAATCTATTAGTCGTGTCATGTAAAAAAAAAGATTCTAAGCGACACAGTAACAATACGGTTACTGTATGTTGTTCACATATAGAGAGTGGACTGAATGTTTCTTTGCCAGCCATAATCCAAAAATGGCGGAAAAGCGCGACTGAGAATAAAGGAAAGTGCGGCCAAGTCTTTTGTATTTATTGAAATTAATAAAGATAAATACATATTTATAATCGTTTTAAATTCCATTATAATATTATATTTATTTTATTCCATTTAGAAATTCAAATAGGAATAAAAGACAAGCATTGGCCGCACGTTCGCTCTCTCTCTTTCCAGAGTGGTCAATTTCATGAGAGTATTGCTCAGTCTACTCTCTATGTCTATTATATTAACAATCATAAGTTATATTTTATTCTATGTAATTCAACGTTTAAGTCCATCGATCGAAAAAGTACTAGATACACAATCAGTGACAAAAAATGTCCTCACGAATGAGCGCTCATTTGAACAACTGAGCGCGCTTTTATTTATTTTTTTAGAAAAACAACTTTAAGCATTGCATTTAAGGTTCAATTTACATTGTTGTATATATTTATTTCAACTAAATCAATGAAAAAATCTTTTAAATCTAAAAGAACTTTTGCATGGGATTGTGTATCTAGTATTTTTTTGATAGGTGTTTAAGTCACATTAATTTTAAATTGTAGTCATTTACAGTCCTTTATAATTAGAACAAGTCAAATTAAATCTATTAATAATTAAAATTCCAATCTTAAAGTCAATCGAAGTTCTTTTAATTTGGAATGAAGTAACATTTATCAAATATTGTATGTACATCAATTTTGAAAATATTTAAATTTGAAAATAGATTGCCCTTATGTTATTATATACATCAGATTGGAAATTGCGAGTCAGATGAAAATGTTTATATATTTGAATTTACTAAAGTTACATTATTCATGATAATATATGTATCATTTGATTGACATTTTAAATTAGCAGATTTCTTAATTTTATTGTAAATATATGTATGAATGAATGAAAAAATGGCGTCCATTCACATCGTTCATTCAATTTATTTTCATGAATATTGATGATCAAAATATTGATAACAATTTAAAAAGTAAGAGCCAATAAATGCCATAAAAAAAGAAAGTATAAGCAAACACTACTAACACTTTATAAAATAAAAAAAAAATATACTAAAGTAGCAGACATTCAGAATTTTAGTTGAAATTACAATTTATTTGTCATACATTGGACATCCATATAATATTTCCATATAATGTAGAAATATCTGACACAAAATGTTTGATGAAACATTGAGCTACTGACAGTACACCTAATACCACAAAATATAAACACCGAATATTTCTCTGAGAAATATATAAATACAGAAAAAAAAACACCACTAAATATTAAAAAAAAAATACTGTCAATTCCAAAAAAAAAATAACCGAAAATGTCAAACATTTAATTTTCACAGTCAATAATACGATTTCATTAGGCCTAAACTTACGAATTATAATTCCAGTTTACTTTTAGTACATGCAAGTTTAATCCTATTTTGTTCAGTAATTTCCTTAATCTAATATAGAATTAATTCTAAATGAGACCATTTACATTCTTATACATTAAAGATTAATTTTTATTTATTATATATATGAGAAAAATGATATCTTTGTACCTTCTTTCCTAGACAGAAAAAAAAAATAAGAAAATTAAAAAAAAGAAGAAAATATGACTTTCTACTATATATTGATAATCATGTTCTAAATTTTCAACACTCATAAATTTAAAAACAAATGCACTACAATTTTTATAACAGTGTTTAGACGAAGCCTTTGACATATAACATATTTCTTATCCACTCAATATATTACATTTATTAGTATATATTTTTTACATTATAATTAATTTATATTCTAAAAATATGATTGAATGTTATTCATACTTTTATTACAGATAAGAATGTTATTTAGTCACTTTTTCAGCAAATTAACAGCAATGTAAAACAGATTTAAAAAAAAATATAAAAAGTCTTTGCAAGCACATACATTATAATCAAACTCCATTCATTTTAACCTAATTTTCTTTTTAATTCAATACACACGCTTTTTACACAAAAGATTAATCATAATCACATTTAATTTACACACTAATCTTATTATATCTATTTGCTTAGTCAAACATTTTTATCTACTATAAAAAAAAGATAAAAATATTATTTTATCTGTATCAATTTGAGTCATTTAAAAAATAAATGTCAATGACAGAAGAGTACAGATAAAAAATAATATGCATACAAAAAATCTAGAAGCGTAATATTTGTATTTATAGCCTAATTGAAAAATATAAAAAGTAGAAAAAGCTGAAACAGTTTTCATAGTAATTTCCATATAATCAATATAATAATTATATTCATCACCTGATAAGCTATTCCCAGTGAATGATTTCCCATTATATAAAAGACAAGTGAATTGTTCTGGTTCATCCCTAGTTTCATATTAACAGTAATTAGTATTGAATAGATAGACTATATAGGTATGATGAGTTTTAAATCCCTTACTTGAGAAATGATCGATTCCCCATACAAACTTACATCCACCCTTTTAACCTTAAGTGATGATTTCCGGGATAAAAACTATCCTATGTCCTACTGTCCTACCATACCAAATTTCATCTAAATTGGTTCAGCAGATTTTTAGTTTATCCATTACAAACAAACATATAAAAAAACATATTTTTTCTCTTTATAATATTACTGTAGATGAAAGATAAAATTATTATAAAAATCATAGTTACATAATGATCAGTGTACTTTAAAAGCGAAAATAGCAAATAAATTGGAATATGTAAGTGAGGAAATGAGATTCGATATATTTATAATCCACCTATTATTAATCATTATCAAGAATTAACTCACAGCGTCTAAGCAATGGAAGAAAACAATATTAGAAAAATGATTCAGCACACTTACTGCTACTTTATTATATTAATACCACATCAAATCTAATTGTGTTTTGGATATACAGATATAATTTTATATACATATATAGTTGCATAATATTAATTAACTTTAAGAGACCATTCAGTCTTGTCAGTCTAAAGAAGCCTTCCCCAGACCTAACAATCAACTAACGATAAAATTATTATAGGCAGAACCAAACTAAAAAGAGAGACTTATAATAATACGCTGCCATCTCAATAAACATGTTTATAATATACATATTACAGACAGTCCCCTGTGCAGGGCATGCCTCCGAGATGAAACTCCAGCTCACATTCTGTTTGAATGCAGTGAACTGAAACACTTATGCGATGAAAATCTAGGCTCCAGATCACTCCTAAAAATCTAGATCTAGACTACTGGGATATTCTGGGTGGAAAGAATAACACACAGACTAGCACAAGCTCATGCACAACGAGCAGATCTGCCTAAGTGTGGAAAAAGCTGGAGTGCAAAAACCATTCAGACTTACAATAAACATTAATTATAAAGTTGGCTTTGTTTTGACTCGATCATTGACATGAGTACGTCATTAAGAGGCAGCCATGTCTATAATATATGAATTAACAATTTACAGTTTAATATAATTGGCATTCATTTGATTTACATTAGAATAGTCAAATATTTTTTTTTATCAAACCAAATCCCTGGTTTTACATACAGAATGTTATGAAATCTGTCATTAGTTTACTTAATTACTTATTATTTTATTATTGAAAACAGAATTTCATATAGCCTATAACACATGCCGAAAGTAACAATTTTCATTTCACCCTCACAATGCAACACTAACGGCCAAATTATTCATTAATTTGTATTGTTCACATCACTATTTAGTCCAAACCCTATAGTTTAAGAAAAATTTAATCTTAGCACTAAATCACTTAAAAGTGTCAAAGCACTCACTTTGTGTCAATATTCACGTATAATGAGCACTTTCCGAAAGTCCCAGGATCATTCGGGCTCTGTGTACATAAATGAGAACTTATCGTGGCTGGTCGGGGAGAGTACTTTAGCTTCGATCAGACATTGAACAACCCATGTTGTTGAGACTAGCGGTATGTTATCTTGGTTGGCTTTGTTCTGTACTTCGTGTGGGCAGTCCCATTCAGTTACTAGGGCTAGCGCTCCGGACATGTTTAGGTCTTCTTCGTTGACAACCCGAGTGTTAGCTCCGGCTAAAGTGCACACCCTCTCCCAAAATTTAACGAATGTGTCTTGATCACCGCATAGTAATATTGTTTTGTCTTTGAAGAATGTTGGGTTGCGTTTGCTGAATGCGGGTTTCTGAAATGTTTTTTTTTCATAAATAATAAATAAAATTAACATGAAAATAAGTAATATCTCATCCTAGGAGGTAAAAGAAAAACACAAAATCAAGTAAATAAATGTGATTCTTCTAAAAGCAAGCAAACATTTTGATCATCCTATTATTAATAGAACTGATGACGACCCACTCGTGTGACACCAACCTTACTTCTTCTCCTACACATTACATTTTACCTATACCTTACTAGTAAAAATACTCACCCAATTCACAAAGCACTTCTTCAATATCGACCATCCGGAAGGCAGCACGAACGCATCAACATCCATCATCCTGTTGTTGGTACAGCTCATGATGACCCATTCATGTGTCACCGACCTGATGTCCGCCGCTAAGCACTGTATGTACTTGGCTGTTAGACACGGCCGGGGTGCTATTAACTTGCACACCGTGTATTTGGTCTTTGGCACGTCGTCGAAATGACTGGAAATAATATAGTTTTTTTATATAAAAAGATATCCATGTATCTGAAACTACAACGTTATCAGCCGTTCGCCCTCGCTTCGCTCGAACTTATCCCTATGTGAGTTTTAACGGTTAGTATTGAATAGATAGACTATATTATATTACTGATGATGCATGATGATATGTATGTATGTAACGGGATATCTAATGTAAATATATTTTTTCAAATCGCATTAGTAGGTCCTGAGATTAGCGCGTTCAAAGAAACAAACACATACAAGCAAACAAACATTTTATATATATTTACCTATAAACAGTCCCACCGCCTGTTTCCAACTGTTCCTTCAGTCGTTCCTTGTTGAAGGGTCGGTGGCAGAACTCCAAGTCTTCTGTGTCTGTTCCCGTCATGGTCGAGGTCGCCTCACTGTCCTCCTCAGACGAATACTGACACTGGAAAAATATTACTAAGGTATTAGAAAAAACATGGAGTTAGTTCACTTTATCCACAACTAGCGATAGACTTTGCTTCCCCATACAAACTTTCACCCCCATTTTCAACGCCTTAAGGGATAATTTCCGGGATAAAAACAATCCTATGTCCTTCCCAGGGTCTCAAACTATCTTCTCACCAAATTACATCGAAATCGGTTCAATAGTTTCGGAGCCTATTTGATACAAACAAACAAACAATCAAACAAATTTTTACTGTTTATAATATTAAAATAGATATATTACTGGTTTATTTCAATTTTTCTAAAATATGTTACTGAGTGCAGTTTGTGTACAGAGAGAGCCCCTTTTTAACGTCCCACTGGGCTCGGACCTTCCTTCAATGTGAGTCGCATCATGAAGTCACACTGAAGTTTGGTGGGCTTAGCCTATTGTGAATCAATTTTCATGTTTTTTTTTAAATAAGTTGTTCTTCAATGGTAGTTTTATCTATACAGATAAATAAAATTGAAGTGTCTATTTGTAATATCAAAATAACACTTTTTACTAAATGAATATGCAACTGTATATGGTACTTATAAGAAAAACACAATGTTTTACTTTTTTGTGTCTGTCAGTTTCTTCCGGCTAATCTCCGAAACGGCTGGACAGATTTTGACGGGACTTTCACTGACAGATAGCTGATGTTATAAGGAATAACTTACGCTACTTTTATTTTAGAAAAAGAATTAAGGTTCCGCTAAACAAATTAAAACGTTCCTAGTTACGCATCCGAGCGAAGTAAGAGTAGTCACTAGTATACAAATAAAACCAATAAAGATGAAAGTTATGAGTCTTTTAATGAAAAATTAATTAATTACCTTTTCAGATTTGGAAGGCCGAGGCGGTTCTGTACAAGTTAGCAAGAAACACAGTCCAGCGAATATCTTGCTATCAGATGGAGGGATCGGACCGAGTGTAGATACTGTGTCTTCATCATTCTCAAACTTTGTTAACTTGGAGTTCTTCTTGCCTATGTTCTGTTTGGCCGCGCCTTTTAGTTGGAGGGGACCCGCTGTAAATAATATATCTATTACATATGGAATAAATCTGAGTGTCCGTGTGTTGTGTTTGTGAACTTCGCTTTAGGTAACATTGAAGAGTGATTACTCTATTATATTTGATATATATGCTTATTTGAATTAATCTTGGAGAAATATTAGATGATTTTGAAGAGAAAATAAAATATCTAAAAATATAGTTTTTTTATATATTTATAACAACTGTAAAAGACTGTGTAAAGCAATGTATGTAATAGAATCTCAAAAAATACATTAATATTAATTATATTTAAAACATTCCATCTGTGGTCTTGTTTAAGTGGGTGTGCGTGTGTGCGTATGTACGTAGGTAAACATATTATGTGCGTGTCTTTAGGCGTGCATGTGTACTTATATATGTCATCGTAAAATTGTAAAACTTAATTACCCATTTTAAATTTTTTCTGTTTTTATTTCCAAGTTTGTATGTGTCAAAATTATGAAAAAAAAAATATTTTGCTAAGTTTCTATCTGTTTGATAATTATCGGATATTTATCAATAGACATATTTATCTTGATAATGTCATTCCCTGTTTAATTTCTTATTAATAAAACAAATAAATAATAGTCGATATTTTTTAACTCAGCCCAATATACATAAATATACATAATATATCGGTAAGTGTATGTGTGTGTGTATGTGTGTACGCACCCTTGACCCCGTCGACCTTGCGCGGCGTGCGCTGCACCTCGGGCTCCACGCCGGCCACCTCCTCGAGGCGCGCGCCGGCCGACGGCGCCGGGTTGCTGCTCTCGCTCAGCTCGCTGCTCTCGCTCGCGACACGCTTGCGCGCCGCCGGCACTACTGGCGTACTCTTGCTCTTTACACCTGTCATTTATTTAAGTAGTTGTCATTAGGAATCTTATAGATTTTTTTTGTGGTATTTTTTTCTTTTGCACTGTTTATTTTACAATTTTGAGTGTTTTTATTTGGGTGTAGGGAAATAGAAGCAGAATGCCTTTTTTATAATATGTATGTAATATTTTTTCTTTTGTTAAATATTTTTTGGTTTTAATTATATGTACACACATTGTATATTGCCTTGGTTTGCCTAATAAATAAATATATATTTTCTTATATTTACGCGAATATTTGACATCCATACTAATATACTCATATTACTAATTACTAATAATATTATAATTGTGAAAGTGTGTTTGTTTGTTTGTCCTTCTTTCACGTCAAAACGGAGAAACGAATTGGCGAGATTTTTTGTGTGCACATAGAAAGCTGGAGAGAAAACATGGGCTATTTTTAAAATTTTTAAAATATTTATGATCAGAATTACTTGAGACTTGGTATTAATGCTCTTAAATACAATTAAATAAAAACGAGTAATAGCATTTTTCGAAATTCATCCCATAAGAGGGTAAAATAGAATAATTATTCTAATCATAAATATTTTTTTGGGTTCTATTATAACATGTTTTCCCGTGAGAATGAAATAATCTCCCGCGGTAAGAAATCTATGTCAATCTGTCACTCTGTTTCGACGTGAAAGAAGGACAAACAAACACACTTTCACATTTATATTATTAGTATGGATGTACTGGGAGCCGTACATTTTTCCGAGATAAAAAATAGCCTATGTGCTATTCCAAACTATAACCTATCTCTGTGCCAAATTTCATCTAGATCCGTTCAGCCGTTCTGGCGTGATTGAGTAATAAACATCCATCCATAACTTCGCATTTAACGCCCTTTTTAATGACCCATTGCTGGGAACGCGAGTGAAAGGTTGGGACTTCATATAATAATCGGGATAATCTATCAATTTGGTCAAGTACGGATCGACAGATACCACATGTCCTTCGAAAACTTGCTAGATTCCCTTAGACTTGCAGGCTTCCTCACGGCATTTTCCTTCACCTTAAGTGATATTCACGTTGAAAATGATCCGCACATGAAAATATAAGTGCGAGACCCGGGATTTGATCCCACTACACTAGGTTCTAAAATGAGCGCATTCCCACTGTGCTATTACTGCCTAATTTGGATGTAGACATATAAAGTGTTAAAAACAAGAGTATCTAACCTGAAGTAGATGCTTTAGGACTAATCGGCGAGGCAACTCGTTTTCTTGCACTGGAGCTTCCCTTGTCCCTGCTGCGAGCGCTGCGAGGACCCTGGAAGTTAAATGAAAATGAAATGATGAATAGAATAAATGAACCTAGAAAGAAATCAATATTAGTAAACCACTGAGCTTCTTTTAACTTTAAATACATATATATATATACATATATATATATATATATATATATATATATTATTAATATAAATGTTTGAGTTGATTACAGACAGAGACACCACCAGTTTGTGAGTTAGTGAGGTTGTAGGGTGTAACCTTTGGATCTACTGAGCCGATTTAGATGACATATAGTAAGAAAATAGTTGAGAGACTCTGGGAAGGACATAGGATAATGTTTATCCCGAAAATCATCCCTTGAGGTGGTAAAAATGAGGATGAAGTTTGTATAGTTAATCAACCTAAGGAAGAACCCGATCTAAGCGAGGGTGAGTCGCTAGTAAATAATATGTATACTGTGTGTAATGTGTTAATTTTATATATACTGTTTGTTTTACTAAAAATAAATAAATGGAACAAATAAGCAACTTACCTGTATTATATTATCAAGATCCAGTTCCCTGTTGTGCCGCCGGCGCGGGGTGGCGGGCGCGGTCGGGGAGCGCGCTCTAGCGAACTCCTTTATTGACCTCGCCTGGTCCTCTGTTAGGTACAGCTCGCTAGCCGTCACCAGAACTATCGCATCTCTGTGAGTTTTATTATAATTGTATTGATATGCAATACAAGTTGGACTTTCTTTATATTTCTATATTTAGTTTTACTATTTTCATCTTTTGCGTAGTTGGAAATTTTAAAATTATTGGGCATTTACTTGAATTAAGTAGAAAAAAAGGCTTTACAAACAGTTAATAAATAATATCAAGAATATAATAACAATAGATGGAGAAATCTTTAGAGACTGAAAGTATGTGTATGCATATTAGTTAATATTATAAATGTGAAAGTTTGTGAGTATGTACGGATATTTGTTATCCTTTCACGCCAGAACGGCTGAACGGATCTGGATGAAATTTGGTACAGAAATAGATTATAGTCTGAAATAATACATAGGCAATTTGTTATCCCGGAAAAATGTACGGTTCCCGTGGGATAGGTTTGTTTTTGTTTCCCTGAGGTGAACCCGAGCAAAGCAAGGGTGAGCCGCTAGTAGGATATAAACTCACCTATCAGTAGTGCAACGATAAGTAATAGTGCCATTATCGTTTTCTTCAACACCAAGCACTAAACCAGGCTCATAGTTCTGTTCATCATCGACCATCGCGTACACAGACTGCCCTTGCAAAGGTAGCTTTTTCATATCCCCAAATATTATGAAATCGTCCAAAATCACTTTACTTTGTCCATCATCAAATTTGATTAAATACTTATTCGGTTCCGTAATTTCTAGAACTTTCCCCGAATAATAGCGTTTGTCCACCCATTTAGCTAACACAACCGTATCTGGTGGAAAACCAGGATATTCGGGTTTTACAACGGCTTTCTCTACGGGCGTCGCCGGTCTCGGTGATGTAGGACGACGTTTTTGCTTCAATTTCGTCACCGATTTGGGCGTTCCTACTAAAGATGATAGCGGTTTCTCTTCCTTAGGTGACATTTTCCCACTATCCCCATTAGTTGGTATCATTTCTGGGGAGTTCATCCCCTGCATGTATTCGGCTTCTTCTGGCTGAGTGGGCAACAACGCACGCTTAGTTTTCCCAGCGATGGGCCTACGACCACGAACTCGGCTCTTCTTGAGAGAACTCTTTGGCGTAGCTTTATCACACTTGCTTACTTCCTCGGGACTTGCGTTACCGTTACTTAAACCACTTTCGTTCGAAACTTGAATGCCCACAGAAATCTTTTCGTCGTTCATTGACCTATCTGAGACAGATGTTTCTCGAATGTGCGAGAATATGTCTTGAAGTTTCTTCATCAATGCCTCATACCCTTTGACTGTAGTGGATGGGTTCGATACCGATTTTCTCGGTGGCTGTGGAACTACGAATGCCCCATCACTAGTGCGGTTACTTGAAGTTGATGATGAACTGACAGTTGACGCGAACGACGTTCTATTTGGCAGATTGATCATCCCAACACTAGTTACACTTGACGGTGAAGTGCTTACAGAGACATCGCCCATGTACGGATCCATGGTGAATCTTTTCGAAATCCGTTGATATTCTTTGCACATATCCATTCCTACGTCGTTATCTGTCCTCACTACGTATAGAGACAGAAACTCGCAATCTTCATTGTGGCTGACATGGATATCGAATATGGGTAATTGAGGTGTATTAATTGGTAATGAATGGCCATTCTGTAAGGGCGATATGGTTGATGGAGTCGTAGTGTTGCTAGTTCGGAATGACTCGTGTTTATTTCTATTTAGTTTATTCCCATTCAGTTTTGACATATCTGGTGTGATGTCAGAACAAAGTTTTTCCCCAATTTCTGTAGGTGTGGACGAGTTGCCATTAGACAATTTTGAGATAAGTTTCGACGCGACGCTAGGCACATGTTCGGGGCTGTCTAGACCCACGGAGCAGATGCTGTCGGTACTTTCTTGATCAGTATTCTTTTCCTTGTAGTCTTTTGTAGCTACTGATATATCATTTTCTGAGATATCACCTTCAGTTTTGGCTTTCTCTGGTAAATCTACGTCTATAACTTCTATTCTATCCTTAGCCACGACAGGCTCACTGCTATAAGTAGGCCCCTTCTTATCCACTTCTTCTTCAGATGGCGAAAACTCTAGATGGAAATTCTGAGAATCGTTTAAATCCTCAGTACTCTCTTCTGCAATCGTGTCAGGGATTTTAGGTGGTGGAATTTCCAATACAAACTCTACACTCGGTCGACTTGGTGTTTTTGAGCTAGTAGCAGAATCTTCATTCACTGGCTTTTCTTTTGATAAATCTAATTGAATGCGAGGTGTTTTAGGCGTTTTACGACTTTTAGTTATATCAACACTAGCCGATCTTGATTTCGGGGTCTTTGGTGTCTTTGGGGTTATTTCTACACTGTTGCTTCGCTTCGTCAATTTTCTTGGACTCGACCGTACTGGAGTTCGAACCCGGGATGTTGATGGTAGTTCATCTTCTAATTTCCGCTTAGCAACACTCGTTATCGCACTCACTTCGTCATCTAATGTTTGAGATGACACAGCAATTTCTTCATCAGCTAAATCTAGTTTTAGAACTTTTGCAATAGTATCTGAACCTTCTTCAGACAATTTTCTTTTGGCATGTATTATTTGGGGTTCTTCTGTGAATATAATATATTTTTTGTTATAGTAAATTTATATTTGTGACAAAAATATAAATACAAATATCGAATAATGCATTTACCTGTAGCTTCTGCTTCTGCTGAAGTAGTATCAGCCTGTTGGAAAATTTCATTTTTATAATATGAATTTAAAATTAAAAAAGAATTAACTATATAGCACATTAATTTGTTTTTATCTTACAATTACAAATATAATATATCTAAATATGACAACATAAGTTTACAACTAAAGAAACCAACAAATGTACAGCAAAATATGTTCTTAAATTATACAAACCTGAATACTTTCCTCGGTTAACTTTGGTTCTTCCTCTGGTTCATAAACAGGACTATCTGGAAAGAGATTTTGGGAAGTGTCCTTGGCTTCTTCAGAAGTAGTGTCAGGAACGGCTTGTACCTCAATTCCTGAAAAAAAATAAGATGTTGTCTTGTTATTTCTTTGCATAAAAAGATTGATGTTTTAAAACTGTACAATGAAATCATATTTTCATTTATATTTCTTTATTTAAGTAATTATAATATTGAAAGGTATATTTTGCTTTAGTTTAATTTTTGCTTTAGATTTCAATCTTAGCAGAACTGGCTATTGTATGGAAAATTTAATATAACACAATATTAATTTACCAACTTGATGATTAAGTAAATAAATTAAATATTCATTTTTATTATTTCATAAATAAATAAAACATATATTAATGTTTAGGAACAATGAAGGTCTACATACTATTATGATACATACCATAATATATTGCCATGAAAGGATTGCATTGAATGAAGGATTCTAACAGGATAAGTTAAATTTGTTTAAATCAATTTTTTTTATATATATAGGTATATTACTGCATCAATTTTAGCTATAATTTTTTTTATTTAAAAATACCTAAATATGTATTTATTACTTCCTAAATAAAATTCAAAACAATCTAAAATGGTTTTTAGTACATATGCAGATTTGCAGGTTAAAGGTTTCTGTCAGAAATTATTAGGTATTTTATGATTTTTCAACGATTATATACTAACTTTTATCAAAATTTCATGCATATTGAAATACACATTTTTATATATAGGTACAGTTTACAACTATATACAGTGAATAAATATGCAAATTTGTAATATTTACAAATTGACTTCATCATAATGTTTCTTAAGGTAATAACTTAAAAATAACATAATTTGTAACCTATTTTGTATAAATACATAAAGGATTTGCTGTCATATAATGGAGAGATGAATCTAGTATCACTACAATATAGAGATTTTCTCTATAACCTTATAGAAAGCACGAAAATATGAACCTTATCTTCTCATACTAAAGATGCAAATCAATTTAAAATATTTTTTTAAATAAAAAATATCTAAGTGAAGTGAATAAAAATATTATTAAGACAGTCATGACATAATATCAAAATGTCAGTTGGATAATAATCGGTACTCCATTTCAGATGTGCACTTATTGATATTTGGATTCGTGACAATGCGACCAAATTAAAATGCAATTGGAATGGCCAATTTCTAAACGGCCGAAACCATGAAATTAAGTAATAAGAATAGCAACATGTGTGTTTTTACATTATGTTTCTTCTATTTTAAGAGCTTTATACGAAGAAAAACAATTTTAAATAAATATAATCGTAAAAAGGACTTAAATTATGTGATGTCAATATAACATGTCACGCATGTCAACTTCGTCGGCTTACACAAAACTAAACCGATTTACAACAGAGAGCTATTTGTTGAAATGTTGTATTTACCTGGTTCTTCTTTTGTAGAAGCACTATCCATAGGTTTTTCACAGCTATCCTCCATCTTTTTAAAACTATTTTTCTTTATTTTATTGAAAACTGGCGCGTTTTAGCAGAGAAACATCTGTCACTTGAACACAGCAAAAATTATAAGAATTTCCATACGTAGAACTACAGTAAACTATCAATACAAGTAGTTTAAATATATAATAAGATAAAGGACATCCGAAAATTGATAAAATAATTTAAAAAGTTGTAATTTTATATTTTTTGCAAAAACGCGAGCGAAGCACGGCCGCTTGTTGATTTGGCCAGTGTTGCCATGCCAAATATTAAGTCTTAAGATAATGTTATTGATAATGTTTTAAAATGAAATTATTTTTTATACATACTCGTCTCAAATAAAGTTACCAATAGGCAAATCATTAATAAAGTCGTTTTTAATTTTATCACATATATAAAGACAAATATATAATTTTGATTTTAATGATTTCTTCAGTTATACCGTATACATGCAGGAATATTATAGAATTATTAAATTGTCGTTTGGTTACTTAGACACAAGTTTGTAATGAATATGAACTTTGAAATTTTTGATACATTTAACAATATTTTCTATTATACCCTTTTGTTTTTATATATTTTTGTTGATACTTCACGAGGTATGTTCAGTTCATAAAATTTGGCTAGGAGGATACTTCAAACTAAATCAGTCGCTTTCATTTCAAAAATTCGATAGTGGACAAACCAACAGATCAATACCTACATTTTCATACTATTTGTCAGCGTGTTTTTTGTAATATAAAAGTTTAATATTTAACATTAATTATAACTATCTTATGGGTAGATAACGGTAAAACTATACGTTGTGATAAATATAACATAAACAACGTATTATACCTTAACCTATGTATCGACATAATTTTTTATTTATATTAAATCACTTATAATTTTCATATTATATTTCTCGCTTTTTATGAAGTGAACTAAATGATAAATTTGACGTAGCTTACACAATACACACGAGGAGGATCGGACAAAATTCGACAGATAGCTGGAATGGCTCTGTGGCTAGACTAATATGCCTTCCTATAAAACTAATTTTAAATACACAGAGAAATTCTAGCTACAAACCATTATATTTTATTATAAAAAAGTTGAAAGCTAACCAAAATTGATTGAGCTCAAATTCTAAAGTTTTGATTTAAGTATTCACAGATGATACATTACTTAGTAGAATTATAACTATCAACCATTCAAATTTTATCTCCACAATACCATTGTAAAAAAACAGTTAAGAAATAATTAAAAGATTCCTCTATTTTGCACATACTATTATTTTTTTGTAAATGTGGTACTTAATGTTATATAAATTAATTTATATTTATGAAATATTAATTATATATTATCTCTATAAATATTATTGTTATATTTTTAATGTAAAAATAAACAATAATGGATATTACAACATAAAGACCAAATTAGAAAGAGAAAGAAGAAAGAAAGAGAATATCTTAAGAAAATTTAAGTTAAAATTCGTAATCCTCAGTTACAAATTGATTGCTGCCTCCATTCATATTTTACATCTTTTAATTTAAAATATCTGTATTTATTATAATAAATTAAAATAAATGAATTAAAGAGGCAATAATATTAAATAAAGTGATTTTGTTGATTCTGTTATTGAACTATTTGTCCTAATATTGCTCAGTTCTTAATAAACATTTGTGAAATTAGGAAAAAGAAAAAGTGATTGCAAATTGTGAAAAAGTGAGTGTTGGATCGTGAAAGTATAATTAATGCAAGTGGTAAAGTGTTTTATTACAAATCGCCAACCCAGAAGTTTAGTGCTAAAACATTATTGTTTGATTGTGTAATTTATGTGTTGAAATTTATAATTTTTGCATTTATATTAGTGGTTAATTCGTTCATGGCTGCCTCCATTTCCTATGTTAAATTTTAATTACCCTAAAATAAGTCTTGCTAATCTGTGTATCCTAAGTCATCCATGATCCTAGCATACTCTATATCTTATAATTTTTACGCTTGGCAACACCTGAAAATCGAAAAGGCGGTAAAATTGAAAACTGAATTTAAATGATAAACTATCAAACTACAGCATGTTTCACTGCACTGATAGATTTTTTTAGTCTGATTATTTTTTATTATGAATGAGCTAAATAAGTGTAAATTATTCAATTTCGTTTATCAAGCCGATTAAATATCAAATTTAATCACAATTTATATTGCATCTACACTTAAAAAGGATAAATTTATGTAAACTTATTACCTATTAAATTATATTTTACTGTAAGTACAATTTATATAAGGCAGTGGTAGTCCAGTGGTAACGCGGCCGCTTGGGAAACCGAGTGAAACGGGTTCTAATCCAGGGTGGTACCAGGGGTAATCTCACGTCTGATATTTTCATGTCTGAATCATTGATCATCTCATCATATTATACTTATTTTTTTGATTATTTTAAAAGGCAATTTTAAAGATCTATCACAAATATCTATCTAAAATACTAAATCATAAAACTATAGAGGCATAATACCGAATAGAAAAAAACAATTTGTAAAGTACCTATCGAATGAAAACTCGCTACGTTAGAATATAAAATGGCCTCTCGTTTAGCCATCTTGTAATAAATTTTTACAATTAACAAGAGGAAAAAGCGTCTTTTCTTAAGAGAATTGAGAGTTAATTAACGTACCTATTCACTTAATTTATACTAAAAGTAAACAACTTAACATAAATAAAAGGTTTAATTCAGGACATCGTTTTCTTCTGTTTTCTTTTTTGTATTGGGTATATCTGCAAGAAGTAGACTGATTTTATTTATAAAGGAAGTTGAAAATTATAAAATCTTTTAAGAGTCGATCTTTTTCGTTAGTAGATATGTTTTACATACGAACTTTTTAAGTAACTGCAGAGTGTCGTATGTATAGTGTATGTATATTATAAATTGGCACATATTTTATATGTAGATATAACTAAGATTTATTAATAAAGTATCATTCAAAGTTTGTAATTAATTAAAAAAGCTAAATAAAAATTATATTTTGGCTGTTTAAAATAAAGTCCATGTAAGTACATTATGTCAAAGTTTAAAAGAAAACCGAAAGAAATATATATTTTTAAAATTTTTCTTGACATCTTAGTGTTTCATTTTCAAACATCTTATTAAATTCAGTCTGTATGTGTGTGCGAAAATAATTTATTTACATATAAAAAAGTCAAAACAAAATAAATATTTATCTACCCGCAAAAGATTACACGATGTACGACACCGGGATTTTTGTTTTCGGAACTAAAATATTCGAAAAGCCGCATCGAGACTCCATTTCTTGCTTGCCGCTTGAGCTTTCTTGGAAAATATTCTCGTAAGTTCCATTCTATGTATAATTTACAAACACTTTGGTATTTTCAGTAATCCGATTAGAGAAACGCTGTTTTATCATTTATTATTTATAAAGTATTACTATACTTTACGGGTACTTTCCAAAAAAATAGTCTACCCTCTCAGTACTTTTAAAATCATTATTAATTCCTGCATGACCGCGGACACGCCAGCGTGTCAGTTAACAATAGATTTCTTAGAATTTTAATTAATTTCTTAGAAATTTACTTGGAGTTGTATATTATGTAAGATACGTGTATTTCTCAAACTGCCTCGCGTAAAAACCATAAAACAAAAAAATTATTACATATAACAACATCTCGGTGACTTTACATAATAAGTAGGTAAATACCTATTATAGTTTTATAAATGTATATAAATCCTTCATTTAAAGATTTTGTGGCTTCATAGTAAAATCATTTAGAGAGATTTAAAATAGGTAGGATGACACATTCATATTCACTGTGATATTTCTATTTTGAAACTTTGTTAAACGTGAAAATGAACTAAAAGTACGTGTTACCTGTTCAGTTTATAAACGTTAGGTACTCGATCATTTCGGTCTAGCAATGTGTATGCTTGCTAGAATTAATGCTGATGTTCTAATTATAATCCACGAATCTTTTTTTTTTATGTTGGGAAATGCATTTACTCCTACCACATGTATGTCTACAGGATGGATATGTGAGAATCTAGATAATCTAACAATCTAGACGAAGATATTTTATTTCAAATACGTGTTAAATATATTTTTCTCCAATAATCATCCATACCAACTAGCCAACCAAAATTAATATGTTTATTAAAATTAACAGAAACAAAAAAAAATTGATTTTTATTTTCTTTTGTATATTTATGTACGCTGCAATAACATATCGCTACATCTTTATTTTATTTCATTTTTTTTGTTCCTTGTTCTTTTTAGTGATGCATCGTGCCAAAAGTTAAGTTATAGCGAAATTACAATTTATTGCTATTTTCTTCGATACAATTATCAAGCATGAGTTAACAACATAATATTATTTATTGTAACACTAGCAAAACCCGCGGCTTCGCTTGCGCTAAAACTACAAAAAAATCGCTAAAAAAGTAGTTCCATACAAACTTTCACCCCTATTTTACCACCTTATAGGATGAATTTCAAAACATGCTAAAACACGTATTTATTTAATTTTATTGAAGAGCATTAATACCAAGTTTTTTTTTTTTGGATTGTAATACAATCCAAAAACGTGTTTTCTCGTGGAAATTAAATAATCTCACGCGGTCAAAATTAGTCTATGTCACTCTCCAGCCCTCCAACTATCTCCACACAAAAAATCATGCCAATCCGTCACTCCGTTTCGACGTGAAAGAAGGACAAACAAACAAACACACTTTTACATTTATATTATTAAGTATGGATTATAGATTTATGTTTGATTATTTAGGAGTTATACACATAACTATTTTTTTCCAAAGTTTTAATATATTCTAAGAGTTTTCCTTATTTTTTAACTTTCCTGGAATTAGGTAATAGACACTTATAATACTTTCGATTAACGTTTCGACGTAAAACCACTCAAACGAAGAAGATAAATCAAGTGGTATTGCGTGGAAAAATGTACATACAATTTCTTTGTACACAAACACTTGTAAATAATAAAATAAATTGAGTAATA